GAATTGACATATTGTCATCATCTGAAGTACTGGTTGACCCAAGAACTGTAGGCTGAGTGTGGGCTGTCAGAGATGGATGATGTCCATTGGGTGGCGACAATGGAGGGGGTGGTGACAAAGGAAGTTTAGGGGGGTGGCCTTCTTCATATTGGATCGAGGTTAGGCCTCTGTGCTCGATCCGGAAGTGTTTAAAGCCTCCTTAGGGTCTTGTCTTGCTTTGCTTTCCCTCCCCTGCTTTTCATGAGCACTGAACGTGACTTTCTTCTCTCCATATCCACCTTCATTGTAATTGTTTGGACAATCCCTTCGGAAATGACCTGTTTTCCCACATTTGATGCACTCCCCCGATCTAGTTGGTGATGATGAGGGGCTTCTAAATCGTCGACTCACGATAGCCATCAGCTTTTTGATATCTTCTGACATCTCCTCAACCCGAGCTTCCAGGCGGGTCAAACGTTCCACCACATTCGACCTTACAGGTTGTGATGGAGTTTGCCGCTTATCCTGTGAAGGGGTATAATTTGACCGAGGTGTCATTTGGGCAACCATGTATTCTTCCTCAGACTCATTGGCCAAGTGCGATTGCCTCACATCTCGTCGAATGACTGGTCTACCATAGACTGCCTGGGTATTCTGGAAGTACTTTTGGACTGCATCCATAGCTGCTTCCAGTGTTCTAAGTCCCAGGTTGGAAACATAGTGGGCAGCTTCTTTGTTTGCGCATCCTTGGCAGAATCTCCGCACCACTTGTTGTTCCACAAGTCTTCAGGTAGATCTGTAAAGGCAGCCATCGCTACTTGGAGTACACGCTCCGCCCATTCTTCCAATGACTCGTCTGAGGTCTGACGAAGATTCGGAAACTGCAGTTGGGCAGTCTCAGCCGGAGACCGTTTCCCAAACCGCCTTTCAAGTTTCTTTACCATTCTTTGAAAGGAGATGAATTGATCTCTCTCTAGTAATAAGGCGAAGAAGTTGGCTGCTTTCCCTGCAAGGCAGTAACACAGCTTGTCCAGTTTCTCCTCCTCATTCCAGGCCTGAGATCGGGCGAAGCGTTGAAATTTCATGTAGAAGGAGGACCATCTTGCACTACCATCATATGATAACATCCGTGGTAGTGGAGCTGTTGGTTTTTCAACAACTGCTTTACGTCTCCTCTGAATGAGCTGTGGACGTACCTCATCTGAGTTGCTATCCGAAGAGTTACCTCTGGCTCTCTCCAGGCGGCTGGTTGATGATGAGGAGCCCTCCTGATCCTTTCTGTCCTATCCTTACACACCCTTTGCCTATCTCTGTGGGCATGTGCCAGATCTTCTTTATAAAATCCAGATTGATCCCATAGTGGCTGGAGTTCCCCGCGATTGGCTGGTATGCGGGCCCAAGGATGTGTAGCATCCACCCGGCATTGGTTATGATCCCGTACAGAATAATAATCCATAGGGTCTTGTTCTTCATGCATCTGGGACCAACGAGGACGGGAACATTGACGGCTACCAAATGAATGGCCATACGTATCCACATATTCTTGGTAATCCCTTTGGACATGATTAACCCTAGGGTACCCCTCGGCATATGTGGACAAACCATGTTCTGTCCCATCTTTCTGCCATATGTTCTCTCTAGGCCCAACAGGGGTGCTTGAGGTTGGAGGCCAAATGGGGACACCCCCATTCTGCTTGAGCAGAAGTGTATCCTCCTCCTCTGAGTCTAAGTATCCCCTGTACTGCAATGCCTTCTCTCCCGGACTGTCATCTTGAGCAGGCTTGGGATAACGAGACCTGGACGGAGTGGTCCGTTGGGTGGATGGGGTTTCACACATATCATTCCCCTGGGCTGAGTTAATTAGGATTGGTTGAGGGGCCATAGATTGAGTTTGGCCTGTCCTCCTCCGTTCCCTATGCCCAGGGGTTAGAGCTTGTCTCTGGTGGACATTCCCCTCAGCACCTTGGAGGACCCGAGGGTCAATCTCCTCAGTATTGGGCTTTGTCCTAGAACTCCGCCGTAACACTTCCGTACCCTGTACCTCAGAATGAGGGTTAGGCATGGGTGCCTTAGCGAGATGGCTGGTTCCAGGATCCTTAGGGCTACTGGCTTCCAGGTTGGCAAGAACCTCAGAGAAAACCTCCATCTCCCTGCTGAGATCGTGAGTGGCCGCCTGCCACCGGCCATAGAGAGCACTATGACTTGGTGGAGTAAGTCCTCTACGCCTGGCCTGCAAGTTGATCTCCGCTTGTTCCAGTTGTTTTAGGTTTGAGTTGATAGCATCCATATCAGGGCTAGGAACTGCTTGATGGAACATTTTAATTTGCGACAACCTACTCGAGGTACTTTCCGTAGCTGGAGTAAATTGTCCAAATGCTGATTTAGGTGTTTTGGTTTTGGATGGTGCAGCTTGCCTAGAAGCAGGTTGCCCCACCATCCCGGGAGACCAAGAGCCTGCAGTTTGAGTACCAGTGGCAAAGGAGATGGTGCTTAGAGCCTGTTCAGGGTTTCTGATAGAGGGGAGATTACGAATGTCCTCCTCCGTCAGTACGCCTAAGGTTTCTCGGAGCTGAACAATCTTCCGGGCCAGTTTCATCCCTATTCCTCAGAGCACAGATTGATATAAACCTGTCTTAAATGATTAATTAGAAAGTACAAGTTATAAAAAACCCATGTTTGGAATGAATACAATTGGGAAAGGAACAAAAGTCTCCGGGCCTTCCCTAAAGTATTCTTGCTCTTGTACTACAACCTAAGGTAAGACGAAGCTGACCTTTCGGTACCTACATGGTAGCTGTATAACATTAAACTAACCTAAGTAAAGAGATGTCAATATTATGGATATGACAAATCATGTACATGTCAAAGGATAGATGAATGGAAGCTGCAACCTGCATGGCGGATTACACCTGGGCTAGAGAGACCATGGCGGCAGAGAAAACCCAAGATACACCATCAACCCTACCCCCACCAGTAGAGAACTGAGACCAACCCAAACAACATTGTGCTACATGTTGCTAATAGGGTGAGGCAGTGGCAGCCGACTGCGAAGCCCATCATCTGAAGAAGGATAGAGCGCCAGTTGATCGTGAAGAATGCTCCACGTCGCCGAATATACTGACTGCGACCAGTAGAATGATGCCGTTCGTATGAAGGACAGAGCATAAAAGTGGACGCATATTGTCAGCAACCTGACTTACAGGCTTCACAAACCAGAACCAAGTGAACGATATCGTCCCCCAGAGGACCGACTACTCAGCTGCTAAGCATTAGCTACCCTTACCTAACACTACCAGACTTACAGATGAACACACAACACTGCAGGCAAGATAACCGAACTGTACCAGCAGTGAACAAAGCAGATGGCATACCCCAAAATAATCTGTACGGTCAGCGGGTGTCGCAAACTGAAATGAAACCTGGCCATACTAGGGTGAAATACTTGCACCATCTAACGTTTGACCTATGCTAATATAACACAATCACATTTCATGCATGGCATAAACATGACCATAAAAATGACAAATAAATAAATATTCTAAACAATTGCAAAAGCTACCACACTTACCAAATGGATATAAATAATAAACAAATGCAATAAACACACCAGGTCTAGGTGACAGTTGACCGCTGTCAGTCAGTCTTATCAAGAGTGAGTGAGCGCAGAAGTGTCAACCTAACACCTTGTATAAATAATTGAAAAACCTAATATACATAAATATATACCCCAGGCTTAGGTGACAGTTGACCGCTGTCAGTCATGCGAATGACTGAGTGCAGAAGTGTCATCCTAAAACCTTGTATAAACAATAAAGCACAGTGAATACATACCTGCAAACCCCTGCATTAATGAAAAGACCTGCAGAATACTTACCCACTATTTAATGTGCATTAATGTGAATACAAAATTTATATACATATAATAAAAGTATAAATGGATAAATGATGCTAACACTACACATATATAAATATGCTGACAGAATTTATATTAAAAACAAAACACGCAAAGCCATGGTAGTTGTTACAGCGTTACCATGCATGCACCCAGTGACAATGATTGACAGCTAGGTACAAGCAACACTGCAATCAACACCATGAAATTTACACGTAATACCTCGGGTGTAGAAGCATGCAGCTTCCAGCGGTTGACATGATCAAAACACATGGATAGTGGATACATAAACACCCTTTGATATTACTGTGCATTTAACATTACGAGTATGTTTTTACGGCCGAAAAGTGATAAATATAAAAACTAAAGAGCATTGGGGTATTACTCTAATAGCCAATGAAAAAGCTCAAAACGCTCCATACTGCGAGTTTTGCTCTATATAAGGACATCACGTGACCCATTCATCAGTCCTTTCCCATTGTCGTGTGACATATTAACTTTTGTCACAAATATCACAATTAGGCTTATCCTGTTCACAGCGCCATTGTTGTGAAAGCCTAGTGATAGGGAAAGGTGCTTACCTTACAGCGTAAGCTTGATGAAGGGGAGATCGAGATCGTGTTAGCTTCTGTGGGTTCTGTCTGTTCAGTCGGCTGTCTAGTCTCAATCTGTCGATTGTCACCTGTCAGATTTGGCGGGTAAGTTGATCACGTGCCTCGATCACACCCGGAAACATACGAGTAACATCGGGTGGCCAATCCGATGTAACCCAATGTACGAGTGTGGAAGCACCAATCACTACAGTACCAAGCGAAAGGGGAAATTGTGATGAATGTAAAAATGTTTATATCACGACCGATAATAGGAACATATTCGTCTGAAAGCAAGCGAAAATTAAGAGTTGTGGTGTAATTATTTCGGAAAAATTCAGATTTAGTCGCATTTCTGGAGTCAAAATCAGAAATTTCGCAACCGCCCCAGATTTGTCAATTGCACGTATTTCGGTAACCAAGGACCTCCATTGCAAATTAGATATAGAGCCTAGTGGCCGCTTTTGCTCTCTCGGACAAAGACAAAGCTCACGATCCAACACTGCTTTTCCGTCTTAGGGAAAATTGCACGTCCTTACGGTCCAACACCCCTTTTCGGTCTTGGGGAAACGTACACGTCTTTACGATCCAACACCTCTTTTCGGCTTGCCTGTGACGTCACGGGCTTATGTGAGCTTATAATCCCCGGACATACCGGACAATCTTCGTGCATGTCCGATATGGTTTTGCTGCTTGTGTTGCTCTGTTGAAGAGAAGTTTATGCGCCTTACACACCAAGCTGGTATGGATACCGGGATGGTCATCGGCCAATGTAATTCCAAAAGGTTCTTGGAACTGATCGTCAAATAAGTATTTGTCGGACCCGTACGGTAAAGCATTTTTGCCACATACACGGCAGAGTGCAGCTAAACTGTGAACGTGAAAATCAATACTCACCAATGAGTTGAAAGTAGGTTGAATGTGGGTCGTCTAAAAAATATAAAAGATAACATCAGACATGTGCCAAAAAGAAACTGACAGATCAATAAATCAAATATATAGAAGAGATTGTCTTGCGTATCAAAACCTAATAGCAGACACGTGTCCATGCACGATATCATATTCGAGTTTAAAACCAGCCTACGTAAGACTTCGAGTCGGGGCTAACATGCACACAACATTTTCGTGTGTATGTATAACTGGACTCGACTATTTCCCTAGTGTTCGAGCCGGGACTAACAGCTCAAGGCAAGACCATGCACAAAATACTACTGACGTTTTCGTGTGTGTATATCTAACCCGACTATTTCCCTAGAATTCGAGCCGGGACTAACAGCTCAAGGCAAGCCAATGCACAAAATACTACTGACGTTTTCGTGTGTATATCTAACCCGACTATTTCCCTAGTATTCGAGCCGGGACTAACAGCTCAAGGCAAGCCCATGCACCAAATACGAACGTTTATGTAATATTTCACCTCTTCTTTAACAGGTCCTATGCATCACAGCGGAAGGGGCACTCTCCTACCCAGAGTTCCATGCGGCCGGCAGCCAGCTAGCATAGTACGCGGGATTTACAGAGGAGGTTTTCGTTGATTGAGGGATCGTATACACATAAATCTATCACGTAAGTACTCAGAAACATTCTGACAATTTACGTACTGTTATTTGTTTACCATGTTTTCCAATGTAACAAAGAGAATTAGTCAGAAATGCAGAGTCAAGGCGTCACACAAGACGGAAACTTTTACGGCTTCTGTTGAATTTACCACATCATTGTAATGTACTCGTATATATGCGTAATTCCATAATTAGTGCAATGATACTCTTCCCATGAATATTCTCTAACGCGTGATCGAGCCAATATATGCAACAATTAGACGAAAGTACCTCTTTAAATTAAATTAAACTGGGGGACCGAGAACGGACGCGTGCTCTAGACAAATTCTCTGCCAACTTCTTCACCATGTTTTTAATCTCTGCTAAAATCCTTCTTGGTCTCCTTTTTTTTATCTCTTCTACGTCCTTCTCTACTTCCCCCATTCGTTGCTCGACGGAACGCGGTTCCCCCACCCGATTTAGGCTTGCCAGTTCTTCCTCTACCATGACCTGTCTCATCTCTCGCCTGGGTTGCCGCCCATATACTACTTGGGCATGATGCTGGAAATGACGGACTCTATCTATAGCATCCTCTAAGGGATTGGGTCGAAGACTGGCTACAAATTGACTGGCCTCCTTATTGGAACACCCTTGACAGAACTTGGTGATTACCTGTTGGTCCACATAATAGTCAGGCAGGCCCGGGAAGGCAATTACAGCAGTATTTACCAAGCGCTCGGACCAGGCTTCAAGCGACTCGTCAGACTCCTGACGCAGTGTTTGGAATTTAATCTGGGCCGTCTAAGGTAATTCTGACTTGTCAAAACGCTTCTTCAGTTTGAAGCCATGGCCTCGAAGGATATGTCTGGTTGTCGCCCCTTGCAAATGGCGAAATAGCCCAGGGCCTCGTCCTTGAGGCAAAGGCAGAGGGTGTCAAACTTTTGTTGATCAGTCCAACGGTGATTCCTTGCCCAGGTGTCTAATTGGACATGGAAAGCACTCCAGCTCCCCTTCCCTCCATATGAAATGGGTGGGGTCTTCGGGCCCGCTCCCCAGTCTGGCCGCTCCTGACGGGGTCTTCGGTTTGCTTCACCTCGTTCACGATCTTGACCCGGCCGGCGCCCCAGACCTTGGGGATCCGTTCGGCCTGCTGTCTGAACTTCTCTTACGGCCTCCCGGTTGCGGCCTACTTGTGGCGGTCGCTGTTGGTTGGCTTCGACTGTTCGGGTCCGGTAATCCACTCCAGGGATATCTGCTTCCATATTATCCACTCTACTCGGATGGTCCACCTCACTGGCCTGTGTAGTCTCACTGCTCTCCGAATGTTCCATTCTTGGCGGATCAAATGGACTGTTGCGGGAAAACCTGGGTTGGGGCCCAGTATACCCCAACGGAGGTTGATGTACAAATCTGCCCGGTGGTCCCGTGGCCCTTCCCTCAAAATTGGAGATGACATCGTTGATTGAGTTCAAGTCTCTCTCAGATCTACGGTCCAGGGTGAACTCCGGTGTATCATCCACTCCTGGATGTGCCTCCATGCTAAGGTGCTCCTGTATCTCTGCTTCCTCAGGTTGTACTTGATTACCTTCTTCCAGTCTGCCCCTCTGGGCACTACGAAGCACCTAAAACCATGAGGCGCCGGTTTACTTTTTATTCCCTATTTTATGATATCAATAATTCATTTATCATCCAAAACTTGCTCCCACAGGAGAGTGCACAGCTTGGGTGAGATCAAGCGACGTCTACATTGTAGATATAGCTGTAATAATTAACTTTTCGTTGTATTCATTGAAATTCCTGCATTCTGATTTGCAGAATTGGTGTGATGTCTTGTTCGGTCGTCTTGAATCCGAGATGCTGTTGCCTGTGCTGGCACTTTGGGTCGAACCCCACCATGGATAGTCTGGTCTGGGGTTTGGACTGGGCTGCTTACCGGTACCTGTTGTGTCCGCTCTTGGCGTTCTGCCAATAATGACTGAATTAATGCATCTCTTTGACGCAACTCTTCCTCATATCGGAGTGCTGCGACTTGAGCAAACGCTGGCGGTGAGTATGGTGAGTACTGGTAAGGCGAGTACTGTGCCAGGATGTGCGGATATGTGTAAGGCATGCTGGTTGCAAGAGTGCTCGCAACTAGTGGTGGTGGCATACAATTGACTGTTGCAAGAGTGCTCGCAACTAGTGGTGGTATATGATGGGGTGTTGCAAGAGTGCTCGCAACACCGCCAGCAGGTGGTGGTTGATGTACTGGGGTTATTAAACCCCCTAAACCCCCATACCCTGATGACATACCGGCCGCAGAACTTGGCCCCATGTTGGCTGAACTTGATATACCTGGTTGTAGAAGGCTCTGAGCCAGAGGCTGGCTACCCATTGTAGGGCTTCCTATTTCAGGGCTTCCAGGTGCAGAGAAATCAAAATAGTCAGCCAAGGAGGTGACTTTATGAATTTTTAAATTTAGAAATTCCTCCTTGGTGATTTCCCCATTATTCTCAATGTGTGCCATTATTAATTTTGCTGTGGAACGGCCGATGCCAGGCACTGTGACCAAATCTTGAATTTCACAAGAGTTAATGTAAATGCCTTGTACCACTGGACCATCTGGACCCACTTCATGGCAGTATTAGACTACATCTTTGTACAGTGAGATGCCTTGGACCACTGGACCACCTGGACCCACCACATGGCAGTATTAATCTACATCTTAGTACAGTGATATGCCTTGGACCACTGGACCACCTGGACCCACTACATGTCGGTATTAATCTACATCTTAGTACAGTGAGATGCCTAGGACCACTGGACCACTTGGACCCTCTACATGGCAGTATTAATCTACATCTTTGTACAGTGGGATGCCTTGGACCACTGGACCATCTGAACCCACTACATGGCAGTATTAATCTATATCTTAGTACAGTGAGATGCCTTGGACCACTGGACCACTTGGACCCACTACATGGCAGTATTAATCTACATCTTAGTACAGTGAGATGCCTTGGACCACTGGACCCCCTGAACCCACTACATGGCAGTATTAATCTACATCTTAGTACAGTGAGATGCCTTGGACCACTGGACCATCTAGACCCACTACATGGCAGTATTAATCTACATCTTTGTACAGTGAGATGCCTTGGACCACTGGACCATCTAGACCCACTACATGGCAGTATTAATCTACATCTTAGTACAGTGAGATGCCTTGGACCACTGGACCACCTGAACCCACTACATGGCAGTATTAATCTACATCTTTGTACAGTGGGATGCCTTGGACCATCTGGACCCACTACATGGCAGTATTAATCTACATCTTAGTACAGTGAGATGCCTTGGACCACTGGACCACCTGGACCCACCACATGGATGCATTGTTAAGAGTAACCCAGTTAACTATATGAACTTTGTACCCTGGTGGTTAGCAGTGAGTGATGTTGTACAACCGAGACAGCACTATTCCAGCTACATTATGGCATGTGTAAATAATCCAGTCTGATCCAGGGAACAAACAAACCGAACCATGCATTTCACTGACATAAGGATTTTATTCAGATTCTGATGGATTCACACAACTAAAAACAATATTCAAATAAATATTCAAATAAATTCTCACATGCTTACATAAACCTACTGCAAAAGCAACCCTGCGGTTGACACGCACCTACAAACACTGATGCATGATGGGAAACCAGGGGAAGTAATCCTGGACTTGTCACGTGCACCATGATGCAAATAACTCCTATGTTACTATGTTCAGCCTCATGGGTCTGTTCAATTTTGATAAACCAATATTCAGAAAAACATTTTGAAGAACAAATTCCATCCTTATGAAAATATAGGTCAATACAAAATGTATATTGATGCATGTGACAAACAAAATTACTTCACACTCGTCAAAATGTAAGTATATTCGAATTAATTGAATTACATATGTTTGATGACATTAAAATGGTATCAACACGACCTTGGCATACATATAGGCGTAAAATGTGCTTCTATTTAAATGCAAAGAGCAAAGATAATCCTCAGTTATAACACAGAACGAGGCAGATCCATAAAGACAGGCTTGATATTGGCACAATGCTGTCTCTGTTGATTATTTCAGTGCTGAGCATACAGCAAGCTGAATTGATTTTTGTTTGAAAAAGTCATAAAACAATTAAAAAAACCAACAATGAATATGTTAACCGCTTTGTCTTCATTCAACATGGCAATTATGGAGAAATGGTGAAGGACTCATTGAAAGAAAGACAACATTGACAAGATGATGAAATCCTGTAAGTTAAACTGAGTAATGCGTACAATGGGTATATACTTGACAAATCATCCAGGTCGGATATCATAAGCACAACCTCAGCTGAAAAGAACCGTAATCATTCAGCCATCTACAGCTGCATGCAAACTCCCAAACAAGTTCCACAAATATCATTTGTTCAAAAAGCCTACAAGACCAGCGCCACAGAGAAACCACAAGTCCACAGAAAATTACAAATTATTTGCTAGGTTTTAACACTTTAATATGTCACATAGTCACCAGGTAAACAAAATAATGAGATGTACAATTCTTATTTTTCACAGGTTGGCAGATCATTTTAAAATTAAAAATATCTACTGGCATTAGTCAAGAGGGCTATGGTGGACCAGTATATTTGTCGAGACCTGAAAATACCAATTTACTAGTAAATGTAACCGTTGTTAGCATCGATGTCCCAAATACAGCATATTTATACAAGAATACAACAAAGTACACTGCTTAGATGGTTCCTTCTAGTGAATAAATAATAACTCCCTGGAATAAACATGAAATACCATTCACTGTTTCCACTAACACAATTACAAACAATTCATGATATTCATCAACATCAATTTACAAGATGATAATGGTAGTGTACTTAAAAATCAGAAATATTCATCATAATAATAAACACATATTTGGTAACTTCTAATGTTCACAAACCTGAAAATGCATGAGCAATATTACAATAGTAACTGTGTGTAAAAGTTCACACAGGACGAGGAGAAATTTATGCAGGTGAGTAAGGTTTTATGGCGTTTTTAGCAATATTCAAGTAAAATCACGGCGGGGGACACCAGAAATTTATTGTGCTTCACTCATAGTACCCATGTTGCGAATCGACCCCCGGTCTTCGGCGTGACGAGCAATCCCTTTAACCACTAGGCTACTTGACCTCCCCGAGAAATCGAAGCATTGTGTTCTGCCACGTAGCAGTCGTCACACTGACAAGATACATCAGTTCACAAGGCTAGTTTTCAATTGTCTCAGTAAACCTGTTGTACCTTTCTTCAATATTCCCCTTACCAAATTCTGGTCAATATCTCCTGAGACAGAAAGAAAAACATACAACTCAAAAAAGATTTAAGAAAACCCGATTTTTTATTATGACTAAAGTTAATCTTGGCAAGGAGAGATTAACTATAATCACATGAAAAAATAGGCTCTCTTTTACCACTTTTTAGGAATATATTTAGAAGACGATAATGGTTTTGAATTCAAACATTTACAGTTCTTTAAAAGTGAATGAAGTGCTTGTAAAATACTAAACTCTTCCTTGCAACAAACCCCTAATCTTGGTTCTAGGGTCCGAAGTTTTTGAAAGAAGCAAGCCCATTAAGTTATAACATAAATATTGTGTCAAAACAGACTTGGTGGGTGAATACATGTGTGCAGTCTTATTATTCATATTTGTTCAAATGCACCTACCCGATTTCAAGATATTCAGTGAGTGATTATTACTTTATACCACATCAGCAACTTTGCAGCTATTCATGGTGATTTTTCAAATGCGGAACAGCAAAGGAATTTGTATGTATACTTCATATGAAATCTGTTTAAATGAGCACCCCTTACAATAAAATATGCTTAAATGACATGCATTGTAAGTTATTTCCCACACATACATATATATGTATAACAATAAATGGAATTGATGTGATAATAATGGACATGGCACCTATAGTAGTCTCTTGAGTGCTCAAAAATCATTCACAAATAAATAATCCCCTATCAACACAAACAACATTCAAACAAAACAAAAACACTTGAACTAGGTACAGCCATAAAAAACTGGTTTCCAACATTTTATAAGACATTGGTCCACTCATCTGACTGTACAGGACGCATCAAGGGAACCTCAGAGCAGCTCAAAGCGAGGCAGGTCGTACCACTTTGGTGAAACTGGCAAGTGTTGACAAGCCATGGTTCATAATCAGGGTGAATGTGGAATTTGGATCCATGATCATAAGATCCTGGCCAGGCCAAGGGAAGCAACTCTGCATTGCGAATAGAAGTGCCCCAGACCACACAGCCGACCCTGTCCCCTTAATCACACAAATAATTTCAAAGTTTCTTACATGTGATCAACTAGTAAACCGAGTACGTAGTGTACAGAAAATATATATACATGGATTTTAAGGTTCCACTTCATCGCTCATGACAAATACAAACCAAAATGAAATGGAAAGAACATCTTAAAGGACCATACTGACAAAATCAAAGTTGACAAGCATCTCCAAGCACACACTCGTCTCCATGGCCACCTTCCATGGCATTCGTTGCATTATCACTTCACACATGGACTGACACACCCACATTTGGCACACCCAACTATATACAGTCCCTTCAAGGCTACTGGACTCGTTGTATTCTTGACTTACCTGTAGTATCCCAACAAGTGATCTGTGTATGTCAATATCAGTACCAAAGGGTTCACTGCTTACTTCCAAATCACCACCTTAGCTACTTTGTGTTTGTTGTTTAATGCCGCACTCAGCAATATTCCAGCTATATGACAGCGGTCTGTAAACAATCAAGTCTGGACCAGACAATCCAGTGTTTGACATCATGAGCATTGATCCATGCAGTTGGGATACCATGACATGCATCAACCAAGTCAGCGGGCCTGACCACCTGATCCTGTTAGTTGCCTCATATGACAAGCATAGTCGCCTTTTACGGCAAGCATGGGTGGCTGAAGACCTTTTCTACCCCGGATCTTCACGGTTCAGCTTCTTTGTGTAACCAAGGAGATGGGTTTGAAAAGTATGTCAGTTATACCAGTGCATGTGAGCCTAATGTGGGAGAAAGGCCTGCAGCACAGGGTCCGTTCCACAAAGCTATATTAGCGCTAAGGTTATCGTAACTCCCATACTCTAACACAGACTTACGATTGTCGTTGTGCTACAATCGCCTTGTGAAACAGGACCCAGGTCAGATATTTGTCAGTTTGATGTAACCCTCCAACACTGGGCCAGGTGCTGACCGACTAAGGCTCTTCGCCGGGGTAAACGTAGGACTAGAAGTATCACCGATGTTTATGGCATGGTTCAGAAGCTCCTGCATTGGTGTTTATTCTATAACCTGACATGGCACATCCAATTTTGGAAGAATGAATGGTTTTGCTATTATCTGGAAGAAAGCGAAAACATGTTCTGAGAACAATTGCTAAGTATTTTCTCTTATGGAAGCAACAGAAATTAAAGCCCTGTGTACAAAAACATTCAGTTCTAACATCGACATTTATTTTAGATGAACTGTTTTTACTCTGTACAAATGTTACTTCTATCCCCATGGTTACGCACCCACGCACGCACGCACGCACGCACGCACACACACACACCATATGACTGGATTGGCCCCTTTCACAAAACTTTACCACTGATAACAGCATCAAGGAACATCATGGCAACTTTCAGACTTTCTGTGAATATCAAACATTGGTACCAGAGCAAGACATGCATGTTCTCAAGTATAAAAACAGCATAAAAACAACAAAAAATAATTGATCTAAGAAAAACACATGATTACAGTGTCAGACTGAGTGACAAAGGACCAGTGCAGATTTATTTTTTCATTTGACCAAACTTCATGATGATTTCATTTTCAATAACCATAAAGTAGGCAAATTTTCTTGCCAGAAGAAACCACAAGCTGTAACCTTTAATAACAATCGTCACATGTGTTACAAAGGTATTTTCAGCTTCTACTTTCAGCCAGATATAATCTACTGTGGTACAGCACCAACCATCAAATCTTGTTGACGGAGATGGAACTGTAACACTCCTACAAAAGGCAAGAGTGCAGGATGCCGGACACCTTCCGCCATTTTGGTGAGGGATGTGCACAAGCTCATTTTTGTTCCCATACTAAAATAAGAGGGAGTTTGGGGGGCTGAAACTAAATGCTTTCGTAAGTAATTGTATTGTTTAATTACCAAAATATAATACAATGAGTTCACTGAAATGTGGCTCTGACAGATGTCACTGATGAGGTTGTCGCACGCCATTATGGAATTCTGTTTTCAAGTACTTTTCAATGTTGATGTCCAATTTTACGACATTTATGCATCGCTTTGATATTCAATTTCAAGGTTTTATCTTATTAAACCATACAAATGCAAACAGGGTCATTATATTCTGCTCATTTGGAACCATATCACAAATTTTTCTAAAAGTGATTCTGTCACGTGCAGCTTTATTAGTATTATCAAACAAGCATGGTGGATAAGTGTCCGGTATAATGCATGTGTACCCTACAATAGGTCTCACAATCACCTTACACACACATTGATTACTGGCCAACACTGAAATAAACAAAAAACCTTGCACTTTCTGCAAAGCACTGACAAAAATAAAAATGGAGGTCGCTGTAAATGTCTGAGGTATGTAGAACAGGATATTCCTAAATGAACATCCTGTTTCAGAGTCCATCCGAATACATGGTCTCTGCCTGTAATACTAATGTTCCCTTGACTTGCATCGGAGACTAAAGGTCCATGTGTGTACAATAGTGCCTATGGTATGACATGGTATGATGTATTAACTATGGACATATGAAAGAATTGGGTGGTCTTTAAACTTTGTTTTAGTAGTATAGACCTATGGCACTACTTTAGTTCAATTAGTTGTGGCTGTGTACACAATGAAGCGATCTAAGTAGTAATTAGTAAGCACATGCAAAGCTGTCGATGCCTTGGAGGAAATGATAAGCTGGTGTCTTGTCAGTGAAAATACCAAAATGGACCAACAACTTGTGAGACAAAGGGAGACAACTCTTCTAATCCCTTGCCTGACAGTCAGATGTGGCTGCAACCACACACTGGGTTGTGGATGATGACAGAGAAGTGGAACAAACTGTGATTCACATGATATGGACTTCACATTTAGGAACTGTCAATATCTGTGTTATGTGTTTCCCTTTTATTTCCTTTAGTAAGAACATCCACTGAAATGCAGGATAAAGGCATCGGTAAGCACCAATCCCAGAGTCGATTAGGCTAAAAAAATAAAATAATCTTGGTTCTCAGGCACCGCCCTCATCATCATAAAGTTCGCTGCATGTTTCGTTTTTATTTCCATTTTCAAAACACCTAAAAAAATCCTTAAATATTCCAAGTCCATTAGTAGTCAACCACTGTATTCCAGTATTTTACTCATCAAGGAATACATTTATGTAGGGAGGCCCCTTCCCATGCTGATTGTACACAACTGTTCATTTGGTGACACAACTGTTTATTTGGTAACATACCAGTTTGAACAACCATAAAAAACAACACTGCCCGCCCGAAGTATATTTTCAAAAACCATTGCCTGAAAACCAATTCTTTTATTTTTTTAAACCTTACAATTCCCTTTATGCCGTACTGACATGTATGCATCATTGTTCAGCACGAATCACTATATGACATACAATGATAATTTTGTTTACATAACATACATATATAAAAGCACATGAAGGGCATTTTTTCTATCAATACTTATACATTCAGAGTATTGACTGTGTCATAGCTGACTTACATTTTGTTTCTTGTTAAATGCCGCACTCAGCAATGTTCCAGCTATGTGACAGCAGCTGGTAAATCTTTTCAAGTCTGGACCAGACAATCCAGTGATCCAGGTCATCAGGGTATGATGACTCGCAGTCAATCAAGTGACAGCCTGACCACCTAATTTAGCTGAGATACAGCAGCAGCATCACATCTGAAAAATTCCTCGTCCAACATAGATGAATAGCTGTGAACACACACACTCATCACTTGACTGAATCCCTTTCACATAATGACCCATGCGATATATACAGTGAAGCCCTGGTGCACATGTAGAAGCGCCGACTCAACAATGTATGCTGCACCAGGATGGATTCAGTGGATAGCACAGAAACTGAGCCAAACACATACCATTGTCCTGAACGGATCTTTAAAGCATAATACACAATAGTGAAACTACATTTCATCTGTCAGTGTTTAAAATACTTTCCTGTTTGATTATCTGAGACGGGCTGGTTTTGTCTTGATGGGCAACTTCTAAAACATGAATGTTCAATTGTCTGGCTGATTTGGGGGGAAAAAAGGTTAATAGAAGAAATGATGTGAGTCTGGTTGGAATTTATGTGGGTGCTGTTGTAGCGCTAAGGTGATTGTAACTCCTATACTTTAACATAGGCTAACAATCATCTTAGCGCTGAGGTTGTTTTGTACAACGGCACCCTGAACTTTAAACAATGCATCTGTCATGAAAATGTCTAACAGATTCTTCTTGAGACATTCACGGTACATGTGATGATTTGTTGATGTGACATCTTCCGTGAATGTGTCAGGTGATGTGAATGTCTTCCGTGAATGTGTCAGGTGATGTGAATGGCTCAGTTCACTGCACGTGACAATGGTGCATGATTCTCAGTCTCATCACAATGAAGGCGAGGTGCCGGACACCATGACAAGCTCACAATGGTAACACTGACAAGAGGCAGCTCACAGAAGCGGCTCACAGCAGCAGTAAGCACTGATGGACACTGGAGCAACATCCAAAGCAGCAGGTTTTAAGTTTTGACTGGCTTTTTTCTGAAAATAATGAACATTAAAAGTGAATTTCATTTGGAAATGACTTCACAACATCTATTTCAGAAACATCGTGAAGTAGTCTGTAGTCACGCGAGTGCTAGTTTCCATGGTTACTTGTAATGTAGCGGAGAGTATGGAATGACAAAACAACATGTGAAATCAGATACCGGTGTACACACAAAATATTACATGATTGTCAAAATACGAACCAACATCATTTGTAATGATACAATTGTAAAAAAAACATGAACTGATGCTTTGAAGGTTTTAAGAGACTCTGGTTAAGGAAACACTATCGACTGATAAACAAACTTAAGAAACACTAGCATGAACACCATGTGGTACAACAGCAGGTGTTACACACGAAACAGAAGAATTGATTTACATCAAACAGGAACTGTAGCAGAGTGAGACATGGTGCAAATGGTGAGTGAGTGAGTATGGTTTTACGCTGCTGTTGGCAATATTCCAGCAATATCACGGCAGGGGACACCGGAAAATGGGCTTCACACATTGTACCCATATGGGGAATCGAACCCAGGCCTTCAACATGACAAGCCAACGCTTCAACCACTAGGCTACCCCACCATCTGCAGTGCACTTGGAGTTAATGCTCTTGAATTGTTTGATAGGCATTACTTAGATGTTGACGGGTGACAAAGTAGACACAATTCAAGGATAACTACTTCTTTAATTAGTCCGAGGGCGACTTTTCGGAATAGATCCTTATACCGTTGTCAAGCAGACTGCTTCAGATCGACTCGCCACAACCAAACCTTCCACCCTTCTGTTGGTATTGATCACATGGGTGAGGCAGACACGTGAGCTCTGTTGTCCAGTGTGTTTCTTAAGTTTGTTCAGCAAATACAACTGCAATAATCACTGCATTAACATAAGGCCATGAGGCTATCAAATCATGCACTAACTGACAAACATGCAAGCAATGAAACAAAACGATTGAAGGCAACAGTTCTATTTACAAAATATTGGCAATAATGTACATCGTACCCCATACACGGTCTGACTAGATATACATGATTAACTATTGGTGCTTACATCTGTATTGTCAACATTCACTACCACAGGCGACTTGACAACCTGTAGCGAAGAAAACAATGCATGGCTGAGTGAGTAAGTGAGTGAGTTCAGTTTAGTGGCACTTTGAAAAGTAGTTGGGTCAACAAAGGAAACACAAAGGACGCCGGGCAGAAACATTCGGTTGGACATGCTGAGTCCAGATAACTGCTGATTTAACACTTTCAGTAGGGTTGGTCAAAGGGGGATAACCCCTTACTTGTGACCCTTCAAAAATTGTAATCAACATTAACAATGCTTCCTTAAAATGGTTTCAAAACTCAAATGTTGTGATTCAGATCCCCCACATATATTCCAGTCTGTTTATGTTACATGCATCTGATAAAGAGAAAAAATAAAAGACAGTCGGAATATCCAAACCACAACATTTGTTGAGCTCAATGACCTGGCTTTCGTGTGGTGGACAGATTTAGCCCTGTGAATGTTGACAATACACGATTACACTCAACTTCTGATTAGAAAACTTGACTATCAATCTTCATGAAATACTTGTCGCTACACCTCCCGGATACAACAATATGCTGCATCATGGAGTGTCCACTACGTACAGATCCATGGGTATACACTCGACCCTTATGTAGGTAGTGATCTTATTCACAGGGATGAGAAGGTTTCTTTTAAAAATAAATCCTCTTGGGGACTAAATGATTTATGAGTACCGCGGGTATATTGCAATGGCATGTAACACAAAAGTGACCCTTGAATTCCGCAGATTCGTGGAACAGCCTCATCCCTGAATGCAGAAACTCTACATCAAGCGGCATGTGTCACATGAGATGAGCACACATTATCAAACATTATCAGCAGAGGACATAATGTGTACAACAGACAGGTTCCGTTATGCGTACAAGTGACGACCGGAGAAAGGGTCACTTGTACGAGTGACTTTCAATAATATCTGCACAAAAACGTTTCTTAGTCTCGAGTGTTATTTATATAAAAAAAAATAGGTAAAATTATTGATAATTATTGATAATCAGTTCATTGTGTTATACTTTTCTCCAGACGTAACAAGAATTTGAAGAATCTCAATGCTAAAATTCGAACAGTAAATGAAACATGCTACAATGTAATATCTACCGGTGCCATTCTCTTCCACAAATAGTTCTTCAAAGTGTCACAATTTGTTCAACATGTATCTGCACAGGTTTTCTCTCATTGAACATGGTGTGTGTATATATATATAGTGATTGCGTTGGGTTTTAACGCTGCCTTTTAACAATATTCTAGTTATATATACGGTGTGTCAGCCTAATGTGGGAGGAAAGCCCAAAGTGATGCAGGTCACAGACGTTTACCACTTTGGTGAAACCCACGAGCACAGGTATGGTGCTTACAAACCCAGTAACATAATCAGGGCGAACCTGGATTTGACCCACAATCATAGGTTTCTGGCGTGCCCAAGGGACGCAATTCTGCGGCCTGTATATATATATATATATATAACACAAGCGAGATCAAGGTGTAACAACAATGATGTCACTGCAACCAAACCCAACCAAAGACTGATCTAACGAGGCACACTATTCTCACTGTCCCAAGTGTCATGTAACATACCACATTGGATCCCCAAAGATCTAACATCAAGATGTCCTTCATAACTGTTCAGCTCAGGCAACTCAGCATCTGATATATCTGATACATCCACAGCAGACAGGAATGCTATGCTGGGATTCAAACCCATACCAGCTGCACAGGAAGCTAACACTTTATGTTCGCCTACCACATATCCCCTTATCTCAAACACTCAAAGAGAGAGGTGGCTCAATTGAATTTTGATTAAGGTGAAAGTTTGATTTACATCATTCAAAAATGACTTGAGAAGTAAATCTGGCAGGTCACCCTAATTCATTGTACAAAGTTTAGAGGCTGCCAGGTCTAGTGGATAGAGCATGTGCTTGTTTGACCCCCGGCCACATCATACCAAAAGAGACGTTAAAAGATGGTAATTGTTGTTACCCTGTCTAGCACGCGGCATTTAGGGGCTAAAACAAGAACCAGCTCGGAGTCAGTATGCTGTGTCTGAGTGGGGTATTCATGTTAAAACAGCGGCATGGTATCTTAGTGGGCTAGCACTATAAATCGGCATCAGTCCGGACTAGTACAAATATGCACAAGCATGTCGCTATTTAAGTGCTATAATCTTTAACATGAAGTAAAACCCCATTTCACCTCACAATGTCAAGACCTAGACTAAAGAGGGGCACCAGACAGTTCAACATAGTCCCCCTTTGAGTTTGTTTGCTTGTTGTTTAACACATAACTCAGCAATATTACAGCTATATGATGGCGGTCTGTAAATAATGGAGTCTGGACCAGACAATCCAGTGATTGATACCATGAGCATCGATCCACACAATTGGGATCGATGACATGCATCATCCAAGTCAGCAAGCCAGACAACCTGATCCCATTAGTTGCCTCTTACAATAAGCATTGTTGCCTTTTACGGCAAGCATGGGTTACTGAAGACCAATTCTACCCCGGATTTTCACGGGTCGCTGCATACTAGTATTACATAAATCATGATGTAGTGACATGAACCTTCGATCCCCTGGACAAGTGAAATCATACACAACACTTGAAACATGGAATAACTCAAAGAACATGACTATGTGCAAAACATGTAAGTAATTTGGCAGGTATGTAAATCCTGAGGGAGACACTACAGGTATAAACATTTCCATGACATAAGTTTCACACACCGGACTAACTAGATTACCCATCCATGTTTCTGTACAACACTAAGCTACAGAGGCCAGAGGTCACATTGTGATCAAACATTTTGATTATCTTATTCAAAGTATATTGGCACTTGGTCCCATAATGCACCCATGTGCAGAAGAAGTTGATGAGTCATCAGGAAATACCCCAGTGGAATATCCTTGGATTCTTACTGCTGACTGGAATATGAGTTTGGCACTTTCAGTCAAATACATATCACTAAAAGTCGGACAGATTTATGAGATAAAAACATAAATCTACTTTTAGGGAATAAAGGTTTATAATTTGTATATAAGTTCAGTTATTTACAACATAATATTCATATTCACACCTTTCAGAGATGAGTGTATACCATAAGCGCCTCCCTCATTCAAAATAAATATTGTCATAAACTGATTCTAAATTAAACAATAGTAAACATCAACATTGATAAACTAAACAGAACTGAAATGATGAAACAGCAAATTGTAAAAAATAAACTATAAACTAAACAAGACAAATCCATCCGAACTATCTAACACACTTCACAGAGTGAGAGAGTGAGACTCAGTGTTTGACAGTCAGCCAGGTTCCAGCTCCGTGGCCTGTATGTACTGAAGTCTGGACCAGAGATGACCATCTATCCACATTGGGTAGGAGGATATGTCGGTGGTAAGTGACAAAGCCTGCCCACCCAATACCCATTTAGTTGTTCCCTTACCAAACAGTGGAAATTGGGGGCCTACTCGCACAACTACCTCATGCCAACGGAGGCAAATTGGTACTTTCTGCGGTGATTGAGGTCTAACATGGGTAGTGTAGAAATAATATAGCAGTGACCATTAGTATGATTCACAGTTTGGTTTTGATAAATACATATTCTGTTTCATTGATTTTCATCACCCCAACACAATAATTCTTCCCATCACTTGATAAAACAAGTGCTTATTAACTGATTTTGGATTGGTTGTACACGTGACAATGCCTGTAGCAAGGTCAATCAGTAATCCAAACTACTGGTGATGGTTCTTCACAAGAATTCATAACCTATTTCATTTAATTGCAATGGGTTCGAAATTGGTTGATCATAGATTCAGCAAAAAAAGTTTTGCTACAAAGAAAAAAGACCTATTCAAACTGAGTATTACCCTGTTGAGTGAGTGAAAATACCATGATGTGCCAATCAGTAATACCACAGCTATTCAGGACACAAATGCTTGTTTAAAGACAATTTTAACCCAACTGAAAAGGTTAAATACAGCAAATGGTGTCATGGTCCTCCTGTCAGATCATTTGCTCTCAGTTGAAGATTCAGATGAGGATTTGACATGACAAGATTGTCACCACACTCGTCTATAGGGGGCAGCACTAACAGGTTTGTAATCCCAGTCCATTGGTACAACACGTAGCGTCACCAATAAATATTTCAAACACATTTCTTCTCATACAACCTGAGAACTATTTCTGTATCATTGTATCTGTATCAGTTCTCGATGTATTGTAGTGACAGCTTAACGTCACCCAGGGCTGTAACGATTCACCATTGGTGCTTCGGTTTGTGCGTCTTTACAAGTATTGTATCATGAGATACTGATACAAAACAACACATGGTATGGAATTCGACAATACTATTTTTTTACAGAATGTACAAAGTCATAAAGTTACCGTTATCATTTTTACGAAAATTGACTTGTACCTTTTTTTTCATTCTCATTTTCATTTATAATGCAACGAAAAAAATCAATTAAACTTTTGATTCCATTTGATGATGGAACACTTCTACTGAACATACCAAGTTTCATGTATCGTATCCTGTACTATATTGCGACCTCACAGTTCAAGAAATGCAATGTATCTTCCAAAGGTAAATTGTTACAGACCTTGTGTGGCCCAGGGGCCCTAGAGAGAACAACAGTCAGACTAGAAAAAGAAATGACAGGTTTTGAAAGGACAATTCAGTACAACAAAAACAGTGTCTTTGGTATGAAATACTAAAAATGCCTTGTGCCACGAACAAAACGAAGGCCTATCACAGGCCACCATTAGCTATGTGTTTAGGGTGCCTGTTGCGGAGTTTGTACCCATTGGCTTTATTTGTCTCCTTCTGTAGATGGTCGGGGAGATCCTTGCCGTTACGTTTACCATTGGTGGATGTATTTGTGGGAGCACGTTTCTGTTGAATGATTGGGTCATGTTCTTCTGCAGTCTGAAACAGAAACAGAGTCGATTAGACCAATATTTCAGTTATATCTCAGCATGTGATCAGTGTTCCCGTTTACAGGAAATTACCAGTTTTTTACCGGCAAAATAAGGCTTGGACCGGTAATTCATGTGACTGCCAGTCTCTGTGGATCGGCAAATAAAGTAGCTTATAAATCTTCGTTGTTGAAAAAAACATTGGTGATAGTCAGATAAGTATAGTTTTCGAACAAAGTCAGCTTGTCTGTTACCATCAGGGTTTCCTGTTGTCTATTTTTAGTGCAAGGAAATAACATTTCGCTTTGCTTTGAGCTTAAGTATATATTTGTAGCAATTTGTCTGGAAATATTTTAAAAAAAAGAGAACTGACTAAACTTTGTGCGAATGAGGTGTAGATCTACCGGTAACTAAGTTACTTCAGAGAAGACGTCATTGTATTTATTTGTTGAAAGTATGGACTGACAAAACTTTGGGGGGACTTGTAATTTTTAGAGTTGCCAGTCCACCAGGATCAGCAGTTTCAAAAGCCAGCGGGAACACTGGTGATCTTCATGTGGGAAGAAAGCCATAAGTGATCTTTGGTGAGACCCATGAGCAAGGGTCATCTTCCCGAGGCAAGGGAGTTAACTGACTGTAAAAGTCCAGTTTCCACCCGCGCCGAACAAGGCTGGAATTCCTGGGCTCGATCGTAGCGCCACCAGTGGTTATTACAAGTTATGTCCCTTATCTCTCCTGTGGACCAATCAGATTCTACATGTATTGCAAATCATGCAATCGACCAAAATCTGCATGACAGTTTACGAACCGGATTTCGATTTCGGTGAGTGATTTTGATTGGACTATGCATAGACTTGTTAGTCCAGCCAAAATGTAACTCCGTAATACCAGCCTAGTTCGGAAAGGGTGGAAACTGGACTTTTATAGTCAGTTAACTCCCTTGCCTCAGGAAGATGGAGCAAGGGTATGGTGCTGACAAACCTAGAAACTTAAAATGGACCACAAAGGATTGTGAACCATCAGTCACAGATTTCAGGCATGCCTAAGAGAAACAATTCTATACAGCGAACTGCATCGCCTGAGACGACTGTGAACATGTGCCCCAAACATGTAGAGACATTTCATATTTCCAAAAGAGCTTTAGTTTGATTTTAATACTTATGAGTCTAGGAATCCATGACCTATACAAATTATGTTTTTAATGAGGTGCTGGGCCCCATCTTAGCAATCTGGGTAACAGTTTGGGTCATGTGACTTAGCCACATTAAAGCTACGTCAGAGATACAGCATGGACTTGGTAAACCAAGGATTCATAGTGTGCATATTAATCCAAACTACTGGTTTAAGGACAGATCCTAAGCAATGTTTTATGCATCTGCGCAATCATGTAATTCAACTGCACACGGAGAATCCTTATTCTTTTCATTTCTACGTAGTTCTGTCCTTAATGACAATCACTAAGGTCACAGATGACAGTTGGTCTAGTCAGGAGGAATATGGCCACACAGTCATATTTTATTAGACCCCTAGGTGGCTGTACGTGGAAACAGCTTAAAAATAATTATAAAAATAAACATAAGACAGCCAGTCCAATGCTAACAAAAGGCCCATAGGGCCTGTATCACTCACCTGAATATTTACGCAATCATCACAAAATATACATTTGCATTGTACATGTATAAAATACAGCAAATATTTCGTAATTTTGATGCTGGCAGCATTTAATTTCTAACCCTCTTCTCCATTTGCATTCCTTTATATGGGCTTTAGGATCTTTTTTCAAGCCATAACTCTTTTCAGTGAAACAACAGGTGATCTGTATGTAAGAACATCCTCTACATCTCCAGAGCTCACATTTCGGTAAACCTAGACTCACCTATCCATTCTCATGGTTCTAGCGATCTCAAATTACCCTCCCTTGATTTTCACTAACATTTTACCGACCAATCAAACATCCAGATAAGGAAAAAGGTAATCGGTAAAGGAGGACTTGCCACTGCCAGTTTCAGTAGACATCAAGACATCCTTTCCAACAAACAGATTCTTGAGAGCTTTCTCTTGCATGCCAGTAGGTTTTTCAATGTTGAATTTCTCACAAACTCTATCGTAATCAAAGGGACTGGCTGCCATGTTGTTGATTTTGCCAAACAAACAGGGAGACTGCTTTGAAACTCACATTCTGATTGGTCTATTAGAGTGAGTAGAGTAGCAAATGAAATTGGCAGATGAAAATCAAGGGCGGTTAATTTGTGATCGTGAGAACCATGGGAATGGTAATATAGAGGGTGAACCAACACCTACAGAACTCCCATTTCCTCCACAGGATTTGTTTGTTTAACGCTGCACTCAGGAATATTCCAGCCATATGACGGCGGTCTGTAAATAATCGAGTATGGACCAGATAACATCCATTGACATCATGAGCATCGATCCACGCAATTGGGATACAATGACATGCATCAACCAAGTCAGCTAGCCTGACCACCCTATCCCATTAGTCGCCTCTTACGACAGGCATAGTCGCTTTTTAGGGCACGCATGGGTTGCTGAAGACCTATTCTACCCCAGATCTTCATGGGACTTACTCCAGAGAATACATGATGATGTCACTCGACAAACTCACCTTCCATTTGTTCTTTCCCCACACAACACACCCAAATATACAGATGAAACTGCTAACCATCTGGAAACAAGGGAGAGAGTGAAGTGTTTGCACATATAGTGGTGGACAGCCTCCAGTCTTGTCGGCTTCAGTGTTTACAACTACAAACATTTACTGTGCCTCAAAGAGACAATGTTATGAAACCCTTTTTTCCACAAAAACTATCATTGAAACCATTATTGTTATGAATAGACAATGGCTTTTAGAAAGTGCAATCCCAAACATAATATATGTCACATTACTAAATGTAAAATAGTGTATTTTAAGGACTTTAGGACTTAATGCATTGCAAATATTTAACTATGAACAAAGCACACTTTTCATAAATACATAATGCTTTAACAATGTTTGCAGAAGAAACAGATCAATGGGTCAAATTGTACAGAGAGTTAGACGTATTTTAGTTAAGGTCTCAAAATGGAAATCAAATATCATGTAATTTGGATGTTAGATTGTAAACAAAAACATCTCAGATTCTTAGCCTTATACATTAATCCTCTTTTTCTAATAGATGTGTCTGCATATGGGCTGTCAGAAGTCAAGCTTCTACTTGAATGAAAGATACTTTATTACCTGTATAGATACAAAGAACACTCATTCAATTGACTCACCTGCACTGACAGCCAAGTTATAACATACAAGTAGTCTGTCTGTTTAAATAAGTCAGATCCAAACTTCACACACACAATGGCTTCTGTTAATGTCACCGCACTGAAACAGAAACATTCTTGGTCAGAACACTTCAACCATATGCCAACACAACAGTTAAACTAGCTTCAAGGACTTCAACCACATGCCAACACAACAGTTAAACTAGCTTCAAGAACTTCAACCACATGACAACACAGTTAAACTAGCTTCAAGAACTTCAACCATATGCCAACACAACAGTTAAACTAGCTTCAAGAACATCAACCATATGCCAACACAACAGTTAAACTAGCTTCACAAACTTCAACCATATACCCACATAACAGTTAAACTAGCTTCAAGGACTTCAACCATATGCCAACACAACAGTTAAACTAGCTTCAAGGACTTCAACCACATGACAACATAACAGTTAAACTAGCTTCAAGGACTTCAACCATATGCCAACACAACAGTTAAACTAGCTTCAAGGACTTCAACCACATGACAACACAACAGTTAAACTAGCTTCAAGAACATCAACCATATGCCAACACAACAGTTAAACTAGCTTCACAAACTTCAACCATATACCCACATAACAGTTAAACTAGCTTCAAGGACTTCAACCATATGCCAACACAACAGTTAAACTAGCTTCAAGGACTTCAACCACATGACAACACAACAGTTAAACTAGCTTCAAGGACTTCAACCATATGCCAACACAACAGTTAAACTAGCTTCAAGGACTTCAACCACATGACAACACAACAGTTAAACTAGCTTCAAGAACTTCAACCATATGCCAACACAGTTAAACTAGCTTCAAGAACTTCAACCATATGCCAACACAACAGTTAAACTAGCTTCAAGAACATCAACCATATGCCAACACAACAGTTAAACTAGCTTCACAAACTTCAACCATATACCCACATAACAGTTAAACTAGCTTCAAAAACTTCAACCATATGCCAACACAACAGTTAAACTAGCTTCAATAACTTCAACCACATGACAACACCACAGTTAAACTAGCTTCAAGAACTTCAATCACATGCCAACATAACAGTTAAACTAGCTTCAAGAACTTCAACCATATGCCAACACAGTCAAACTATCAAGAGCTTTTCATAGAAAACAGGTCTAGGTCTGTCAGCCTAATCATTAATTATATGGGAGTTAACTAACTTTAAAAGCCAAGTTTCCAACCTTACCGATCTAGGCTGGAATTATGGAGTGATATTTTGGATGGAATAATGAGTTTATAAAACCAATCCAATCAAAATCATGTGACGAACTTGACACCCAGTTCGTAAACAACATGGATTTCACTGTGCAGATTTCGATCGCCTGCAGGATTTGCAAAGCATGTGTACCGTCAACTTGGCCTTGACAGATATTTTCCCAATCTTTTCATGTTAGTAATGAAGGTGCTCATGTGATTTGATGCACTTCGCGAGGTAAGCCCCGTATTATTACAATATTGATCTTGATCATCGATCAGATCACCTTGACTGGGGGCCACCATTTTTTTTTAAAGCAAATAAAAGTGATATGTGTGATGGAATCTGATAGGTCAATAGGAGGGGCAGAGGAGGGATATAATTCGTAATAGCCACTGGTGGCGCTGCGATCGAGCCCAGAAATTCCAGCCTAGTTTGGCAAGGGTAGAAACTTGACTTTTAGAGTCAGATAACTCCCTTGCTTTGGGAAGATGGAACTTAGCATGAAAACGTGATACTTGATAAATGGAATTTGGCATTTAATAAATTTAATGTTACTTATTATTATTATTATTATTATTAACAGTACACCTACCAGTAGATCCAGCACTGAGTTCCAACCCGCTTACACCGTGTGTCCGTCACGTACACATAATATTGCCTGTACAAAAAAAAACAAGAACAACGTTACAGCATCTCCATTACCGGTACCTTCTCCATCACCTGTAACAAGTCAGTTTTACTTACGTATGTCTTGGTAAGTGATCCCAGTTTATGCATTTGACCTTACTTCATTATCAAAATTCAGAGACTTATTAGCATGGACCACAAACCACCAATTGGAATCAGCAATGTTGTGTGTGGAAAATCAAGCTCTTTTCAACAGTCAACGATTAAAGATTTTCCGTTACACCATTACTTATTTAGCTGTTGGATCATGGATCTGCCAACCCTATTTCAGCGTTAGAAATTGGCACTAGTCCTATAGTCCTTGCCAAACTGCCCAATGGAAAAGGTATCATAAGGACTAGTAGAAATTTGCCTTTTTTAAGGGTTTTGCTATATGTTATCATTATAAGGACTAGTGGACAAAAACTGTTAGTTTCCAACCCTGTATTTGCTTCAAAATTGGAAGAAAAAAATGAATCCAAATTTAAACTTATTTTCCCACCTCTGACAAGTCATACATGCAAAATCATTTTGAGATTACTGTTTTCAAAATGAACAACTTTTGATGCTCAATTCGACAATAATATATCGCAAAATCATTACCGTATATGACCGCGGATAAGCCGACCCTGTAGATAAGTCGAGGTGCTAACTTGACCATTGAAATACGAGAGAAAATGATATGACCCGCAGATAAGCCGAACCAGGAAGTGAAAGGCAAAAAAAACTGCGAAGTCGGACTGCAATTAAGACATGTGCTGGTACTCGCAGATATTAAAAAATATAAGATGAAAAACGTTGTAATTATATTGAAAAAGTCATTATTATTTCTAATAAAGATTTAACAAACCAGTCATCCACTTTCATAATGTGGGAAGCCGTTTCTCTTGTTTTTTTTTAATCTCATAATGATTGTTATATGTTGCCATCAACAACGAAGCACCATTTTGTGAATCGGTGTATATAGAATTATGAACCCGTGAGAAAATATATCAGCTAGAGCGAAGACTCGCAGTTTGAATTCAGCATCGTAAGCATGGCGTTTTCGTTTCAAACTCGTGATGAGATTGTCAGTCAGTAAGAATATACCAACTTTTATAACCCCCTTTACACCACTATTGTATGTTAATCCAATTGAATTAAATAAACTATCATACTATGAACACATTGAATGACCATCACTTACTCACAGGCTTCTCCAGTTTATTAAACTAATCTCTCGAAAACAAAGGAATTAAGCCCCAACTCCCAACACGATCGCTAAGCTCCCACAACTTGAAAATGTTTGTGTAAACAACATGACAATAACAATCGGCCCTTAATTATCAGTGCTCATTTCCTTGTGTACCGTGTTGCTTTTTAAACAACAGGAAGCAATCACAGTGATCACCGTTTGTGACGTCACAGGAAACAGCTGATCACATGTTTTTGCAAATGGCAAACGGAATAACTCGCTGATAGTTGTTTATTTGCCTCTTTCAATAAAGGTAGACATTTGTTCACTATCAATTTATGAACTTTGCAAAACGTACGTAATAGCTATTGGCGATTTCATCAGGGGATTATATATTATAGCTGTGAATTACATATATTGTTACATGTAAAGATTGTGGAGTTTATGAAGAACGATAAACTTTGAACATTCAATTAAAAACTTATTATCGGAAGTAGTAACATGCATAACATTTTTTTAATAATGACAACATTGGTGTATAATAATAACTTTATTGATAATTTATAACAATAATGGCTCTAGTCGTGGCAACTTCCAAACTTTCGGGAAGTTGAAAATCTATCGGACCGTCATTCAGGCGATGTTTCTGACAGATCACGATCTGAAAAATACTCTCATGAAAGTGTATCCCGTGGATAAGCCGACCCCTTTCTACAGAATCTTTTTTCTGGTCCTTAAAATTCGGCTTATACGCGGTCATATACGGTAAGTCGAGTTCCGTGCATACAAAATATCGAGTTATGCCTCTTGTCCTTGATATATGGAATTTGCCGAGATTAATTCCTTTGTTTTTCTCATTCCCCAGACACTATTTTAAAAATATTCTGTGAAAGAGAGCTGATGTCAGTGTTCAAATTTTGTTTATTCCACCCAATGGCTTTTGACTTTAACAAAAGATATCCGAAATCCAAAAAAATTGTTAAAAAAATTGTCTTCCACCGTTTTGAACACATTCAACAACTGGACACCAAGGATACCATCTAGCGACACCAGAGTCTCCTGTAATGGATAGATGTTGGATGTATGTTGGAGAAATACTTGATGTAAATGTGGACTGATACTTTGATAAAGATTGCATTAATCATACAAAAGTTGGATAAATGTGGAGTGGTACTTGGTAAACGTTGGAGGACTCACCTAATGGAAGGTGCTGATATTGCACATATCAATGCTAGTCGAATAACGTTGATTATATGTGATGGCGGTACCATGAATACATGCTTCAGGAAAAATGTGTTCAGTTCTGAGATCTGGAACAAAAATATAAACAATGATTAATAGGGGTGACATATTCATTCATACCTTGTGTATCTGATACATGTATACACATTCAGTACTTAATCTATTTCACTGTATGTGTGCAAACACCTTACAACTTACATATGAGTCTATGTGCAAACACCTTAGAACTTACATATGAGTCTATGTGCAAACACCTTAGAACTTACATATGAGTCTATGTGCAAACACCTTATAACTTACATATGAGTCTATGTGCAAACACCTTACAACTTACATATGAGTCTATGTGCAAACACCTTAGAACTTACATATGAGTCTATGTGCAAACACCTTATAACTTACATATGAGTCTATGTGCAAACACCTTATAACTTACATATGAGTCTATGTGCAAACACCTTATAACTTACATATGAGTCTATGTGCAAACACCTTATAACTTACATATGAGTCTATGTGCAAACACCTTAGAACTTACATATGAGTCTATGTGCAAACACCTTATAACTTACATATGAGTCTATGTGCAAACACCTTATAACTTACATATGAGTCTATGTGCAAACACCTTAGAACTTACATATGAGTCTATGAGCAAACACCTTATAACTTACATATGAGTCTATGTGCAAACACCTTATAACTTACATATGAGTCTATGTGCAAACACCTTATAACTTACATATGAGTCTATGTGCAAACACCTTATAACTTACATATGAGTCTATGTGCAAACACCTTACAACTTACATATGAGTCTATGTGCAAACACCTTAGAACTTACATATGAGTCTATGTGCAAACACCTTATAACTTACATATGAGTCTATGTGCAAACACCTTATAACTTACATATGAGTCTATGTGCAAACACCTTATAACTTACATATGAGTCTATGTGCAAACACCTTATAACTTACATATGAGTCTATGTGCAAACACCTTAGAACTTACATATGAGTCTATGTGCAAACACCTTATAACTTACATATGAGTCTATGTGCAAACACCTTATAACTTACATATGAGTCTATGTGCAAACACCTTAGAACTTACATATGAGTCTATGAGCAAACACCTTATAACTTACATATGAGTCTATGTGCAAACACCTTATAACTTACATATGAGTCTATGTGCAAACACCTTATAACTTACATATGAGTCTATGTGCAAACACCTTATAACTTACATATGAGTCTATGTGCAAACACCTTATAACTTACATATGAGTCTATGTGCAAACACCTTATAACTTACATATGAGTCTATGTGCAAACACCTTATAACTTACATATGAGTCTATGTGCAAACACCTTATAACTTACATATGAGTCTATGTGCAAACACCTTATAACTTACATATGAGTCTATGTGCAAACACCTTATAACTTACATATGAGTCTATGTGCAAACACCTTAGAACTTACATATGAGTCTATGTGCAAACACCTTATAACTTACATATGAGTCTATGTGCAAACACCTTATAACTTACATATGAGTCTATGTGCAAACACCTTATAACTTACATATGAGTCTATGTGCAAACACCTTATAACTTACATATGAGTCTATGTGCAAACACCTTATAACTTACATATGAGTCTATGTGCAAACACCTTATAACTTACATATGAGTCTATGTGCAAACACCTTATAACTTACATATGAGTCTATGTGCAAACACCTTATAACTTACATATGAGTCTATGTGCAAACACCTTATAACTTACATATGAGTCTATGTGCAAACACCTTATAACTTACATATGAGTCTATGTGCAAACACCTTATAACTTACATATGAGTCTATGTGCAAACACCTTATAACTTACATATGAGTCTATGTGCAAACACCTTATAACTTACATATGAGTCTATGTGCAAACACCTTATAACTTACATATGAGTCTATGTGCAAACACCTTAGAACTTACATATGAGTCTATGTGCAAACACCTTATAACTTACATATGAGTCTATGTGCAAACACCTTATAACTTACATATGAGTCTATGTGCAAACACCTTAGAACTTACATATGAGTCTATGTGCAAACACCTTATAACTTACATATGAGTCTATGTGCAAACACCTTATAACTTACATATGAGTCTATGTGCAAACACCTTAGAACTTACATATGAGTCTATGTGCAAACACCTTATAACTTACATATGAGTCTATGTGCAAACACCTTATAACTTACATATGAGTCTATGTGCAAACACCTTATAACTTACATATGAGTCTATGTGCAAACACCTTATAACTTACATATGAGTCTATGTGCAAACACCTTATAACTTACATATGAGTCTATGTGCAAACACCTTAGAACTTACATATGAGTCTATGTGCAAACACCTTAGAACTTACATATGAGTCTATGTGCAAACACCTTATAACTTACATATGAGTCTATGTGCAAACACCTTAGAACTTACATATGAGTCTATGTGCAAACACCTTAGAACTTACATATGAGTCTATGTGCAAACACCTTATAACTTACATATGAGTCTATGTGCAAACACCTTAGAACTTACATATGAGTCTATGTGCAAACACCTTAGAACTTACATATGAGTCTATGTGCAAACACCTTATAACTTACATATGAGTCTATGTGCAAACACCTTATAACTTACATATGAGTCTATGTGCAAACACCTTAGAACTTACATATGAGTCTATGTGCAAACACCTTAGAACTTACATATGAGTCTATGTGCAAACACCTTATAACTTACATATGAGTCTATGTGCAAACACCTTATAACTTACATATGAGTCTATGTGCAAACACCTTAGAACTTACATATGAGTCTATGTATAAGTTAGCAAGCTTGTTTCACATGAGTTTACCTTTGGTTATATAAGACAATCAGTGTTTCGATATTTAGATAACTAATTTCACCAGAACAAAATAACCATCTATGCAAAAAGATATCAGCTGTTCTTGCCTGAAGAAGTGAGATATTTGCACATAAGCGTAGTTTAATATCCACTCCTGAAATTTGTTGTTCATAGCCTTTTCCAGTTAACACAGTATTTGTTCTACTATATTTGCCTGACAAAGTAGACAATTAATGGATAACAACTTAATTTCTGTAAAGGCTTGTAATCCAAAAATTAGTTGTTATCCATAAATTGTGTCTACTTTGTCATCCGTCAACTTCTAAGTAATTCCTATCAAACAATTTATATTTGCCTGTTTCTCTTTAAGCTTAACACTGCCATATGACAGTGGCCTGAAAATAATCGAGCCTAGACCAGACAATCCACTGACATAAACTCCTACAATCCATGAAGGTGATTTGACATGCAATAAACCAAGTCACCACGCCTGACCACCCAATCCATTTAGTCGCCCCGCACAACAAGCACAGGGCACAGGTTGCTGGGGACAAATTCTAATCCCGCCTCCCGACGGATGTTTCACGTGATGACATTACCTGCCAGAAGACGATGAGGATCCACACTGCAATGACCCTCATGTAGGTGGAGTTGGGGTCCAGCCATCGCACGTGGGTCCAGCTGAAACACAACATGGCTGTGTTCAATCTGTCCACTCTCTTACAGTCAGTGCCAAAAACATCTCAGTCTGCTTCCTCAAATTTCTCTCTTGGCATCATTTTTTGTAGATTTTAGTACTAATATATGGACTTTCTTAGCTGAGCATACAAGACAGAACAAGATTGTACTCTGGCTTCAGACAAGTGGCTGAATTCACAGCTTGCTGCCATGCACTGCCATAAATATATGCTTCCACTGAGAGGAACTTAATGACACAATTATTCCCCTGATGGGAATTTTCTCCATGATTGGAGCAATCAGAGGTGCCAAAGTTTTAGGAGAATATTTCAAGATTGACTACTGGTTTGAAAAATCTTGAGACTGAATTTACTTATTATTAGCTTTCAAGTCAATGTAATATTTTAGTAGGAAACTATACATAGTCTGACAATGATCATCCTTGATCGCTGGAAGAACGTTCACTGCCTATGGTAGTGAAATGGGGTTCAACGCTGCAGCCAAGATTATTGCACTTATATAGCGATGTGCGTGTGTGTGTGACTGTGTGTGTGTGTGTGACTGTGACTGTGTGTGTGTGTGTGTGTGTGTGTGTGTGTGTGTGTGTGTGTGTGTGTGTGTGTGTGTGTGTGTGTGTGTGTGTGACTGTGTGTGTGTGACTGTGACTGTGTGTGTGTGTGACTGTGACTGTGTGTGTGTGTGTGTGTGTGTGTGTGTGTGTGTGTGTGTGTGTGTGTGTGTGTGTGTGTGTGTGTGTGTGACTGTGTGTGTGTGTCTGTGTGTGTGTCTGCTTGTACTGGTCCGGACTGATGCCGATTTATAGTTCTAGCCCACTGTTATACCATGCCGCAGTTTAACATGAATACCCCACTCAGACACAGTATACCAGTCCTTGTTTTAGCCTCTTAATGCTTAGTGCTAGGCATGGTAACAGCAAGTTCCATCTTTTAATGCCTTTGGGTATGACGTGGCTGGGGATCAAACCCCAGACCTTCCACTCTCCAGGCGGACGCTCTACCACAAGACCACTGTCTATGTGGCTAAAGACTTTATATTCTCGGCATAAACCGTTGCTGAGGACACAAAACTAAAACCAAAATTCAATACCATACTTCACCCCAGACAGCACAATTTACATAATCAAGCTCATAGTATTCAAAATAACCAACCTCATGACAATTTTGTTGATTGAAACTATAATGAAAAATTAAGAATTTCCTGTAATAGTGCCTTGGATGATTTTGAAGACAATTGAACTGACCAAATGGGGTGGTCGGGTAGCCTAGTGGTTAAAGCGTTCGCTCGTCACGCCAAAGACCCGGGTTCGAATCCCGACATGGGTACAATGTGTGAAGCCCATTTCTGGTGTCCCCCGCCGTGATATTGCTGGAATATTGCTAAAAACGGCGTAAAACCACTCACTCACTCACTCACTGAACTGACTAATACAAAGATGTTGCGTCAATTATGGTTCATTGAACAGATAAGGAGTACTTTGGATGAAAATAATGTCACATTCCTCCATTACGTCAAACCCTGCAGCTAACCACACCTGACCCAGTTCAACTTGACCAACATGTATGGCAAGATTAACATCTAGAAAAGGCATCAGCTGAAGAATACATATGAATACCGTTTCTGTTTTTACTACATACATAACCTGAGATTGCCCAAGTGTAACACTATCCAAAATAGAAAATCTGTTAATTTGAATTTAAAAAGAGTTAAAACAATTGTGCAACATTCTGTCTCATCTATATTTCATGGCATTCTCCACTGACGTCAATACTCGTGTGAAATCAGCTGTAAGTCAATACATCTGACACTGTTCATGCCACGCTCTGCTGCCTGTGCATGTCATCTTGTCTTCATCACCATTTCTAATTGAAAAGATGGCTTGAGTGCTTTCATACTTCAAGAGAGACAACTCCAGCACACTTAAATCGAATTTATGTCATAGAAAGATTTTCTTTGGAAGATCAATGTTTAGTATTATAATAAGAACATATTCTCGTTTGTCATGATGTCGGACAGACTCAGGGTTACATTTGTCAAAACAGTGGTAAATGTTATGTTTCCTTGATCATGACATGCCGCAACAGTTAACAGTTCTGTAAACAAGCGACAATGCTGACTCTCTTCCTGGTTTGTGTTCCTCTTGTAGCAGATGTGACAGCATTGTTTAGTGTTTATTTATCTAGTGCAACAGCTATCTGCTGTTGCACTAGATAAATAAACACTAAACAATTGTTAATATCACTGCAGGTCATAGAGGATGTTTCATTTGTCGAGTGAAATATCATGTTTCTTTTATCGAGTGACGGGGGGGAAAGGAGATATTTTAACGAGTGGCGTATTTATTATATACTTTGTGTGTGTGTTTGTCAACCAGAAAATTACATTATTTTATTACAAATGTAAAACCTTGAAATGCAAATTCTCCCTACCTCACACCCCTTGTATTTGCGACTAAAAAAAGTAGTTTCGTGTTTGCAAAATCTTAAAAAATATCAACAAAACTAACTAAAAATATTTAGGTTCACAAAAATTCAGTATCATACATGTTGATATGATTCTATAACAAATCAACTTTAAAAAAGAGATGTACTTTAAAACTACTAGACCGCTGTTGGTGGCCAAAGAATACAAGCTGGTCAAGTAACAAAAGTGGCGATTTGCGAAAGAACAGTCTCAATTGATGAGTTAAATGAGAAATTTACAATTAATAACGAAACATTTTCAAGAGAATAACAAATGGCAAGAACATCGATATTAACTCCATAAATGACCATCTGTCATTATTTTACCTTGTCAATGTGAAACTAACGTAAAAAGGACTTCAACGTTTTGTGTACGGTCTAGACACTACGACAAATGGAGACATTTTGAGGGAAGGTCACTCTCGTATGACAAAAGTTCCGTCAAAGTGTTATGTTCACAGCAGTGAAATATCAAGTGGTATGTTCTCTGCAATGAACATATCTCATTTCTCAACTTCGGAAAACTCGCTCTTTCACACTGAAGTGTATAATAAACCCTTTTATCATCGTTCTCATATAATCTCTTCATCATCAGTTCAATGGTGTTGGGTGCAATGGGTCGCCTTGTTTAAGCCAAGTTTTCTCTTTGAGCTTTTTGCATATTTGTTACTTCTCTGATACTTATATATAATTGATCTATATTTATTTAACAATTATTGATCTCTTACCTGTAGTATAACAACAAGTGATCGATGTATGTCAATATCAGTACCAAAGGGCTCACTGCTTCCTTCCAAATCACCACGTCAGCTACTTTGTGTTTGTTTGTTTATTTGCTGTTTAATGCCCCACTCAGTAATAGTCCAGCTATATGACAGCGGTCTGTAAACAATCAAGTCTGGACCAGACAATCCAGTGATTGACAACATGAGCATCGATCCACGCAATTGGGATCGATGACATGCATCAACCAAGTGAGCGAGCCTGACCACCCGATCCCACCTGACAAGCATAGTCGCTCGGTCTCTATGATGTATATTGGTAGCCAGCCCTAATGATTGTAGAGAGTGTGTATATACTGACCTGGCGGGAGTGAACTGCAGCACGGCTCGACCCAGCTTCCCCGTGGTTGAGTGGATGTCCCTGCAAGATGAAGATGTTATTATTTATCTTCACGTGGCATTCAGAAACTGTAGTGTCAATAACGACAGATTATTTCATGGATTTCCTTATTCTTTCAATGCGAGTTCAGGTGCTGCAACCTTTAACAAGGCTGTGATCACTTGTTTGGTAAAATACCAGCACCTGTCTTCATCGATATATCTGATTCAACACATCAAGCTAGTCTGTCTCCCACACACTTGGGAAAATATTAAGAAAGGAGTCCAACTCAAGTCTAGAATGATTTGGCAAGTCTAGACTGCCTCTGCTCAAGGAAAATAAGAAAACTTCTGGGCTCCATTTGGATTTTATTTTTTATATTTTGTAGAAAGATAGTTTTGAATAAGATAACTTTATTTCTGGGACTAAATGTCAGTCTGAAATAGGAAAATTAAAGCTTGGAACTGAAATTCAAGGCAGCCAATTTCTGTTTTTTGACAAAATAAATGTTTCAAGTCAAGGCTGACACAACATGGTATGTGCCTCCAGTACTGTAATTCTTTAACACACAACTAATACTTGAATATGACAATGTATGTTCCAGTGCATGTGTGCATATATCTATTAGACCATAACTCTTTAATGATTATTGATATTTTCAAAACAGATAATCATTGATGTATCTCCGTCACACAAGTTCATCTCAATTAGAGTCAGCCCCTACTTAGTGCCACCTGAATTAATTACCAACTGTGCGTGAAGACTGAATCCCACCACACTCTGGATCACAGCTTACACATGTGTCTGTCAATCTCACCACACTGCTACATCGCCAGACATGATAATGGATGTCTTTTTTAATTTATTTGTCCCCCATTTACTCAGTCTGGCTTTGGCTCCTAAGAGTAATATTAATAGCGATATTGAGTAATCCCGGACTCAGCAATATTCCAGGAATATGATGGTGGCTTGTAAATAATTAAGTCTGGACAATCCAGTGATTCGATATTGTCAGCAAGAATCCATGCTGTCATGGTACAAGGACACACACTATGAACTGGGGAACGATTCACCAATACCTACGATATCATTGATACTTAGGAACACGCGATAATTGAATCATAAGTTCGTGAGATCACAATACCCTATAAATAGAACAGGAACATTTACAGTTACCTCCCATATGGCCTAGCGCTACCTGTAAGCATGGCAGAACACAAGGACATGGTAGCTGAACACATGCCGACTAATTCTTTATTAATAACCATCCCTTAATTTAAAGCTGTTTTCTTCTTTTGGTTTTCTTTGTTGACGTTTTTGAGATATCAATACATAAATGTATGAAGAAAGAGGTTTTAGAGCTGTATTAAAGTGATTTCATCATTTCTTACTAATCGATGTGGTATATAGTGATACCAGTATTATTGTCAGTCTGTATCGTGGTACAAATTGTTTTGCAAGATACCAGGCAATATTGAGCTCTAAACTGGAATCACACCTGGAATAGTGTTATTCAGTTTGTTCTCGGGGTGGGGGAAAGCCGCAAGTTTTATTACAGGTCATAACTGTGATGACGTCAGTGATGACAAAACGATGAGAGTACAAAGGGGAAGGGTAACTAAAGGCACAGTTCTTGGAGTGAGTGAGTGAGTTGGGTTAACGCCGCTTTTAACAGTATTCCAGTTATATCACAGCTTGTCAGCTTAATATGGGAGGAAAGCCTAAAGTGATGCAGGTGACATTTACCACTTTGGTGAAACCCATGAGCACGGGAATGGCGCTGAGAAACCTAGAAACATAATTGTGGTGAACCAGGATTCGAACCCACAATAATAGGTTTCTAGTGTGCTCAAGGGACGCAACTCTGCACAGTGAATTGCGGTGCCTTAGATGACTGGGCCACCCGTGCCCCCTTACAGTTCTCCGAAGGGAAACGCAAGCAAGGAAGCTAGAGGAAAGAAACAGAAACTTGCTAGGTCACTGCTCACTCTGTGGCTCCGACTGCCTACACCTGGGTGTAGGAGAGACCGCTACAGCAGCTGATCCTGACATTCCATCTGAAAGGCAGTCTGCTGCAGAGTCACATCTCCAGGGAATCAACATTCACAGGCAGGTCAGTCTTCTTACGCTCTCACCCTCAGATCCCCTCACACTCCAACCCCCTCACACTCAGACCCTCTCTTACACTCAGACCCTCTCTTACACTCAGACCCTCTCTTACACTCAGACCCCCCACACCCTCAGACCCTCTCTCACACTCAGACCCTCTCTCACACTCCGACCCCCTCTCACACTCAGACCCCCTCTCACACTCAGACCCTCTCTCACCCTCAGACCCAGTCTCTCTCACCCTCAGACCCAGTCTCACTCAGACCCTCCTCACACTCCAACCCCCTCACACTCAGACCCTCTCTTACACTCAGACCCTCTCTTACACTCAGACCCTCTCTTACACCATGTTACACTCAGACCCTCTCTTACACTCAGACCCCCTCACACAGACCCTTTAACGCTCAGATGTGGAGATTGGTGAGGATGAACTGCCAATGTAGGTTTCCTGTGGTCACGGTAACAGTGTGGGGATCAATATTCCTGCTTCAGTAGCAGGACACTGATTGTACACATCTTACAATTATTGTCTACGCACAGTAAGTCCCCACGCAGCAGCAAACAGCCTGCAGTTACAGGATGCGTTATCTGGTTGAGTTTGACGCTGTTTTGAACAGTTCTGTTCGTTGTTTACTTCGCACTCAGCAATATTCCTGCTTTATGACAGCAGTATGTAAATAATCGAGCCTGGACCAGACAATCCAGTGACTGACATCATGAGCTACAACTTATGCAATTGGGATACGATGACATGCATCAACCAAGCCACTGAGCCTGACCACCTTCGGTAATCCACCTCTTACGTGGGTTGCTGAAATGTTTCTTACCATTACTACATTAATATCACTGCATGTCAGTTGTCACTGTTTATGAAGGAGGAGTCCCTTGGACATGCCAGAAACCTGGGATTGTTGGTTCGAATCCCGGGTCACCCAGACAAGGTTTGTCAGCAACATACCCGAGCTTGTGGGCTTCACTAAAATGATAAACTTCTGAGCCCTGCATCACTTCACGCTTTCTTCCCACATTGAGGTGCAATGCAATGATATAACAGGAATACCGTTCGAAGTGACGTTAAACCCAACTCACTCGCTAACGAGGGCGGAAAAACGAAATTACCACGTAGGTGAAACTAGAGCTAACAAACAAGCATCATGATAAAGGCAAAACCAAATCAGCAGATCCTGGCATGGCTAAGGGATGCAACTCTGCACAGCTTAGTCCGCTTGGTCAACTTGTCCAATATTTGAAAACATCTAGCATATTATCGCCATATATTGGAAGGTCTACAAGATGTTAGCTCCACACGATGCCACCTGTGTTGTGAGTAAACATCCCCTCAACAACCAAAGTCTCTGCTTCCATTACTTTAATGACTGTTTGTCAAGCAATAAAATATGTTGACCTGTAGTGATTTCTGAGGTATGACTTAAAGTGCAAGACTATGCATGGTTGACAGCAGAGCAGCACTACATCCTCCCTGAAGTGACAATCCACGTCTTGTGTTTACCTATTTGATCAGCAGCTACTGTTTCTACAGGTAGCCGACATCCAAATACTTTCGGGTTAACATGTTCCTGACACATTTGGGTCATCAGAAAATAATTTTTTAAAGATTTCATTACGTTTTCTTGAGTATTCTTGAGTTAAGATTTGTGAATAAAATATCAGTGACATGCGAGCGAGTTTTTGTTTGTTTTGTTTCTTTGTTGTTTAACACCGCACTCAGCAATATTCCAGGTATATGACAGCGGTCTGTTAATAATCGAGCCTGGACCATACAAACAAGTGATTGACATCATGAGCATCAATCCACACAATTGGGATACGATGACATGCATCAACCAAGTCAGCAAGCCCCATCACCCGATTCCCATTTTTCACCTCTAACAAGCATAGTACCCTGTTACAGCAAGCATGGGTTGCTGAAGACCTATTCTACCCCGGATCTTCACAGGTCTGCGAGTGAGTGAGTTGGGTTTAACTTTAAACAGTATTTCAGTTTTATCATGGGGTGTCAGTTTGATGTGGGCATGAGACCCAAGATGATCCTGACAAGATGTTTACTACTTTGGTGAAACCCACAAACATGGGACTGGTGCTAAGAAACAATCAATTGGAAGCAACGATCACAGGTTCCTGGCACACCCAAGGGACACAACTGTGCACAGCGAGATGTACCTTCAATAATCGATTCTCTAGATCCACATCAGAAGACCACATGTAAGTAGAGCATGCTACCATAGCATCTATAACATCAGTAAAGTCCGCCATCTACTTGATACTCCAACAGTTAAATTGTTGATGCAATGTCTTGTGACATCCAAACTGGATTACTGCAATGCATTGTATGCTAATCTTCCCATGAAAGCCATATCAAAGCTACAACGCATTCAGAACTCTGCAGCTAGATGCATCTCTAAAGTTCCAAGATCCAATCATATCAGTCCTGTCCTCAAAGCACTACATTGGCTTCCAGTCTCCTTTCGTATAAACTATAAGATATGTATCATCACTCACGACTGCCTCAACAATAGCGACTATCCAGACTATCTCAAAGATCTTATATCCCTGTACTCTCCAGAGCGTGCTCTCCAATCCTCTGGTGGAACTCTACTGTATCAGCCTCTGTCTACTTCTGCTATGTCTGACCGTGCCTTCTCCTGTTGCAGTCCACAGTTATGGAACTCTTTGCCTTTGAATCTGAGAAACTCTGCTTCTAAAGAAAACGTTTAAGTCTCTCCTCAAAACCCACTTCTTCACTTCAGCTTTTCAATAGATCTCCTGATTGTTGGCATATGTACATATAGACATTACATTTTAACTTTGTCACAGAGCCAGTGAGCAACTGTCGATGGATATTAGGCGCTTTACAAATCAATTATTATTATTATAATAAGTATGTTTGTGAAGTGACGTGTACATTTGATCAA